CAGAAGTACTCATTTGATTTTATAAATATTTATTTTCTACGAGAGGCAAATCGTCCTGAGGGTAAGCAGTGCTAGATGTTCAAGGATTTAACACACACACACACACACATACGTGTACAACCGCAATTCTCACTACACGAGGTTTTACACCTGAAAGTCACTACACTATGTTCCAGCAATGCTAACAAGATAAACAGACCACAACTGTGATTCTATGGGTCTTTGTATATGCAAATGAGGTTCAGAAAGATGAAAATTCAAATAATGAAAAAATGATTTTTCACCTAAAAGTCACTACTACATTTGGTCACGTGATTTTGCTCAATCACACACCGGAAGTTGACAAGTCACTACATGGCTTTACCAGGACACACACAGGAAACTCAGTACATAAACACTCTTGTAAGATATTATACAAGAAAATCACTACATTCAGTAAATTTTGAATGCGTTTCCCGTAAAAACACCAATTTTTCCAAAAAATTGTTGAAAATACATGACAATGTCTGCATGAAATCTGTATGCTATAGAAAAAAAAATTGTCAAAGTATATCCGATAAAGTTAAAAGATAAAAAATTGGCTTTCAACATCTGTATATAGATTAAAATAAAGCAAATGAAATGAGAAGAATAAATTAACAGTCATGACAAAGATTTAAAAGTATTAACGGCCAGGCACGTAACATCGTTTTTGAAAGTCGGGGGGGGGGGGGGGGGCAGAAAATACAACTTAGTACCCGAAAATCTTTGGCAAGCAAGAGAAATAGGTTAACTTCAAAAAGTCGAAAATCCTATTGGTGGGTTGAACTTTTGTGAACCCTCCAAAAAATTTCTTTACAATAAAATGACCGCATTTAAATACATAACAAAACAGTGTGTGTATGGGGGGGGGGGGGGGTTAATGAACACTTTCACAGTAAATTAAAAATAAAACTTTTAAGTTTGAAAAAAGGAGGGGCCAAGCTACCCCTCCCGCAATGAATTGCCGAGTGTGCGTTGATTCAAGACTTGCTTCGTCAAGAATATTCGTTTTGGGTTTTTTTTTTCTGTTGCATTGAGTAAGACAAGTAGAAATTGAAAATCGTTCCCCAATTTTAAATGCAATCATTATGTTTTTTAATGATCTTGAAGAGTTTTTTTCTTAACAAGAATTTTATAGGATTACAAATTACTTAACTACTGTTCATGTAATAACATCTCGTTCTTTTTTATGTGGATGACACCACAACCAGCATTCAAAGGAAAATTTACAATAGTAATATAGTATATTCAGAAAAAGGGGGGGGGGGGGTAGCCTCCGCGTTCTACGGACCTGAAATAAGAGGAAAAATAATGATCCCTCTTATTTATTCTTGCAATTTAATGACTTCAAAAAACTGAAATTACTTTGGTGGGGAAAGTCCACTTCATTGTTTTTTTATGCATAACATTCTATCATTTCATATTCATCATTTCATTTTCCAATTCAGCATTTAAAAATCCCATTGCTCAAATATGTTGGTCTCTAAAACCATGATTTTTTACGAAATGCAGTTCATACAGCACCCTTTAGTTTTCTTATCCCTTTGCTCAAATGTTTTACAACATTTTGAAAGATCAAACAAAAAAGACGGTTTGTTTGCATGAAACAATTTAATTGCATCAACTATACAAAAAAGTACATAAAAAGAATGCTGACATGAAATAAGATACACATGTATAAGCCAAGTGTTAATAGATAATTCTTGCTGTTAATTTTTAAGGTATCCAAAATAAGTTTATTTTCACAGAACAACCAAGGACAATCAGTCAGTATTTGTGCAAAATATAGTGACATTTTCTTAGTGCATTAAACAACATACAAGTTTCGAAATAAAAAAAAAACTCTTTAAGCTTAAAGCTGACAACCAAGCAAGAAATATAAATATCATGCAGTTAATAACTTCCTGTGTTTAAAATGCAACAAAAGGCCCTAGGCTTTGACTATTACCTGAGTATTATGAATTTCTCAGGCTGTGGTCATTTCAAAACTGCCTGGATCTAGAAATCTAGACCCATGCAACAAAAATCGTAAATTTTCACAAGAATTCTATATTTATTATCATATTGATGCAGCTGAACTCCTAGAAGTTCAAAAGTAAAGAGGATAAGGTATACTGGCTAATACTGTATAAAACATTCTAATTTATGACTAACTCTGCCTTTTCATGGGCCTGAAACATGAAGAAGCTTTCAATTAGAGAGCTAAGCATTAATTAAGATTAATTTTAGAGGTCCATGTTTGCTCTGCTACGAATATGGATTATTCTAATGGACTTTTGAGTTTGATTACTATTCATAATCTTCATATTTAATTTTATGCCTGCTAGTTTGCCTGCTAGATGTTCACCAGTAAAGGATTTTTTAAAACTTCAATTTACAGCCCATAGCAAGGGTTTCAAAAGTAGGGGGGACTTAAAAAAATATCTGACAAGCAAAAAAAAACATTATTTACTGAACCGACCTTATTGCAACAAAAAGGGAGGGGAGGGGCAACCAGGATATAAAGGATACTTTACTATAGCAAAATACTATACTCAGAAAAAGTGTGTGTGTGTGGGGGGGGGGGGGGGGGGGGGGTTCTATGGGCCTGTTGCAGTGTCAATATAAATAGGTAAACCTTGCATGAACAATGGGTCATGAGCGATAAATTTCACAAATTTTGGTTAAAAAATAATTACTTGCTTAAATTATGCAAACAGCTGTCTGCTACATGTCCATGAAAAAAAATTTATAGGATATATTTTTTCAATACTCAGCTCCATCCTGAACCTATATGCAAAAATGAATCTCACAATTTTTTGTACTTAAAGAGCTATGGGCTTATATGATATGCATACCATCAACTGCCTGCTGGCAAAACTTCTCACAAAAGAGACATGAATGTTTTTTATTATCATAGTTCCCAGACGATGTTTTTGGCCTCTAAAAACCTGGTCTTTCGCTTCTCTAACTGTGGTAAAACTTTGCCGACATCATCATGATCATCTTCACATTCACTGTCCTTTTCGCTGTCACTTGCAAGTGCAGCTTGTTTCTGCTGCATTTCAGATTTGAGAGGCTTACTGGGCATATCTGAAATTATTATATATGTACATGTATTGACAAAAGGGATTCATCTTTATTTTTATAGAAGAGGCCAATGGGCCACATGGCTCACCCAAGTCACAATGGCCCTGCACATTTCCCCCCCTATATATCCCTATGTAAAGCTTTGATTGCCTATTATGGCCTCATCTTACCCATTCAAACCTAATGAAGAGGTATGAAAGTTGTTTTTCCATACTTCAATCTGTTAGGCATGATTGAAACACTCTATGTAAGCTCCTTATGGACATATTTATAATTTATAATGCTGGCTAATGAACATCATGTTAATGTGATGCAAAGGAAAGTAATTTATTTAAAATGAATTTTGTCAATTTATCAGACTGTGATCATGTCTGGAGAAAAAAACAACTTATGGAATTAATCCTTAACTGTAATAAAGAAACAGTCATACTTAAAATTCAAGACAGAAATTCTGCCAGAATTTTAATTCACTTTAAACAATCTACATATTGTACAATGTAATACATAACACCTTATACAAGAGGCCCATGGTCCATGACACCTGAGCCCTTTTGCAAGAGAAAAGCAGAAATCAGTTCAGTATTGGAAAGTTTGAGTAATTATACAATTGGTGCCACCCTATGCCCCGTGGGTGATGATTTGAACAAACCTGAAACTACTTCTCCCATCCTACCCCTTGATGTTACGATTTGAATAAATTTGAATGTACACTACCTGAAAAATACTCCTGTATTAATATAACAAATCATGGCTTTGCTGTTCTTGAGAAGAAGGCCTTTAAAGACATTTTCTATATAATTCCATGTAAAAGTCTTATGCCCCATTGTGTCCCCACCCTTCTGCCAGGGGTCATTAGTTGATAAAACTTCAAGCTACATTACCTGAGTATGCTTCTGTATTAATATGACTTGTCATGGCTTTGCTGTTCTGGAGAATAATTTTTCTGGCCCACTCAGACCTGTTTAACTTTTCTAATTGATGTCAGTATTCTAGAAGTTGTCAGTATTTTGAGCAGTTTGTCAGTAAAAATGCAACTCAGCTTATTAGACATTTTTATATGAAGAACCCCTTGTTATACAAATACTAAGCACTAACTACGCAAGTCACCGTATGCTGTCTACTGTTGCTTACATATTTTACATTTGCCGTAATTATATTGTTTTTAGATCATTTTTGATAAGGCCACTTCAATCAACAAGCTTCTTTATCAAACTGATTGGCAAATTTCGGGAACGACTCTGATTTTTTCCGTCTTTAGGGAAAATCTGTATATTTTCAATGTGAATCTGTAGAGCACTTTTTTACTCGAAGATTCATGGAAAATACTAAAAAGCTGTACAAGTAAACAACTCTGCCCATTGTTTCTGGAGAAGATCTTTTTAAAGATGCCATCAAATTTGCACTTATTTTTGATTATATCCCCTTAAAATAGGGTGATGCCTTTCATGTGAACAAACTTGAATCCCCCACCGAAGAATACTTTGTGGCAAGTTTGGTTGAAATTGACGCAGTGGTTCTTGAGAAGGAGCTGAAAATTTGAAACAACAGTGACGCTGGAGATGGACAATGGACAAACTTTGATCAGAAAAGCTTACTTGAGCTTAAGAAAGTTCTGTTTTCAGCTTTATTACCAAGATCATTAATGGTATCTTCATCACAGCTTTTTTCATCGCTTGAAGGATGGTATGATTCATCATCATTACCATCATCATACTCGTCTGCTTCATCACTTAAAAGTGGCCCTGTATCATGTCCTATTTAAAATTCTACAAAAGAAATTATCATTTTAAGACTGTTCATTTTTATGGGGTTAACTTTTAATTTGTAACAATCAAACAACATCATAAATATAGATTACCATGATTCTCATTGACAACATCATGACTGCTGCTTACATTTATAAATGATTGGTGTGATTCCTCATCCTGCTCAATTGCAAAAGACTCTGTCAAAACATTCAAATTAGATATTAAATTGGAAAATAACACTTTTCTTAAAAAGTAAGATTCAAATTTATGAATACAATAGGGGTTATCTATTTTTTTCTTTTTGCCTTTACTATGCATACAGAGAAGAGTCCCATGGGCTACAACATTTCCCATGTAAAAGAAGCTTTTCTTAATGTTTATAAAGAGTTTTTCTCCTTAATTTTCTCATGCAAAATTGTGAACTCATATTATGACCCTATCCTAACTCTAAAGGGTCTCTGAATCCACTATCCCCCCCCCCCCCCCCCCCCCCGCTTCCTTCCTCCCTTTGGCCATGATTTGAACAAAAAGGAAGCTACAAGAAGGTTTAAAAATACAATTTGTGGTCCAGTTGTTCTTAAGAGGATTTGTAAAGATTTTAACTAGTACATAAATGTACGTATATATTTCAAGGTAAATCTTTGATCACCTATTGTGGCCCCATCTACCTCAAAGGCCATTTTTTGAACAATTTAAAATCTTTATTACATCAGGAAGCTTTCACATAAATTTCAGCTCCTGACCAGTAAAGTGAGAGTATTATGGGCTTTGAGAAGAAAATACACATTATGGTTTAATTTGACCTCCAAATCTTTTTTCTAGTACCATAATAGTGTACGATACATTTATTAATTTGACAACATACCAATCTTCTCCTGGATTTTGTATGCTGGTGAGCACAGACTGGGCTCACAGTTTTCAGCAAAGTTATCAGCTGTAACTCTAAACTCCCACTCTGAGTCCTGAGGAAGATCGGTGACAGTAAAGAGGGGTCAGTGCAGGGGTACTCATTTCTCTGTTCCCTTAAACCTCTCTTCTACAAGGTAGTCTACAAAGATAATCAATATTATCAACTGCTACAGTGTTTATGTGGTTTTGAACAGAGATCAACATTTCCCTTTTTTTATTCTACTTTTAAATTAGTACCTGTAATTTTACAGCCACCATTATGTTTAGGTGGTTCCCATTTCAGATAAGTTATAGAATTGTTGACAGCCTCTGGTACACCAGGTGGCAAAACCTTGGCTAAAATAAAAGTTTAAAAACGTGAAAGAAAAAATAATTGAAAATAAAGTACAATATGGTAATTGTTTTTTAAAATGTTATAATTTTTTTCAAATATACTTACTGTATTTGGGCTTGGGAGTTATGGGACCAATCACATCACTAGACTCACTGATTTAAAAACCTTCAAGATTCTTGGCCTGTATGTGGAAGTTGTATTCCTTGTCCTGTTTTAATCCCTTCACTGATGAAAAAACTCTCAAATTCAAGTTTTGTAAACAAAACAAATTTCAAGAATCACTTTTGTAAAACATCTTTTCACAGTTTTCAGCCATAATATACTAATTACATGCAACAAAAGGACATGTAAATCCACTTACTAGTTCATAAGAAAGATACATGAGTCAACAAGTAATCAGTTACTCACCCTCATAAACACACTAATCTACTGGGTAGTCATTAGCCTGCCTCCAGTGGTGGGGTCTTCGTATTCTATGACATATCCTATAATCTTCTTAAAACCATCATTTCTTGGTTTGGTCCAAGAGAGAGATTGACAAAATCTTCATCAATGTCGAAAACACTTGGATGTCCAGGAGGATCACAACAAGCTGAGGGAAACATTTAATATTTTCAAAATTTTTCAACCCAGTTCGTCATGTAAGCACAAAGACATTCTTTTAATTGTATATACCAATCAATGCTCGAATCTTAACATATCCCTTCATATTGAAACGAAGTCTTAAAGTTTGGAATTCATTTGATATCTAACAATTCATGTTCAACAGAATTATCACTTCACTTCAGCTTAGCTTCAGGGGAGAGATCAAAATTCATACACATCTACAAAAACTAATCAATCACCTGAAAATGAATTTCTTTGGCTACCACTTAAATATTTAGATGACTTGCAAAATAAAGTGGACAGACAGGACAGTATATATAGCTTGAACGAATAGGGATATACTAAAATACTTAACTAAATGTGCATTCTCAACCAAATTTGTGCACAGTGCACTATTTAAAGAATGTCCATACAAAGTAGTCAAAATACCAATCCCAAAGATCTTGAACTTAGCATTTTACAATTTTTTCCTCATAAAAATAGACGAATTCAAAATTTGATGAAAAATATTAATGCTCTCAAACTAGGAATAATTAACATTTTTGGTGGAATGGCTCTGTTCAATGGTACCAGTTATGGAAGAAAAAAAAAATGCTGCTGTTTGTTCTTTATCACAAAATACATTGTATTTAAAAAAAAATTCCATTTCTTTTTTATTTTAAACATTTTTTCCTTTATATTCCCACAGAAAACTTTAATCCACTATTGTTGTGCCACTCTACGGGTACCTCTAGGAACCATGATTGGGAAAAAAATTGTACAGCACTTTCTGAGGATAACAGCTAAGACATTAATATCACTAATCAATGTCCTCTTGTGACATACATTCCAATGAAAAACTTCAATCCTTCATTGTAGCCCTATCCTACCCCACTGTAGATGCACTTCATTTATTTATTTTTAATTACAAAAAGACAATTGAACAAACTACCATGTTATGACCGCATCTTATTATGACATTTTTTTTATATGTTGATGTAAAAAAAATATTGATTCCATACTGGTTCCACCTACCCCATTAAGTCAGATTTGAACATGCAAACTTGAATCTATACCATGTCAGGACACTTCCACATAAGTTTCAATGGTTTATAAAAAGGAGATTTTTATATGAATCAAATTTTCACTGTTTCATAGCTACTTCTCCTTGAAAAGTTGGTCACCATTCATTTAAACAAATTAAAATTGCTAAGTGGTTCTCCAGAAGAAGTAAAATGCTCCAGAGCTTTTGAGTAGATTTTTGTCTTAACCTATATTTCCACTTTTGCATAATGTTTTAGTTCTTACAATAAATTTGGATTCTACAATACCAATTAAAATATATTCAGTTTCAGTTAAAACTCCATGATTAAATTCCTCACCAAAAGCATTAAGTGAGGAACTACTGTATGTGTACTTAAAAAAGCAGGCTTCATATTTTAGGGGGCCCTTGGCGCAGACAACAATGCCCTAATTCATGAATACCACTAAGAAATCATTTATAAATACAATATATGGTACAGACATTTATAGCGCTAATTCATGATGTCGCCAACACCTCAAAACCCAGTGATTTCGCTAAATTTTGAATACACTATTTTATGGACACATACAGTATATTTTGTGGCGGAAGGTTTTTTTTTTTCAGAAGAAAATGATCATTTCTTTCTCTTTCAAAGTATTTAAAGTATGCTAAGTTTGGATTCCTATTTTTCCATGCAGCCTACACACAGAGTTATTCTGAGCCATGAATTGTTTTATGCTGGTCCTAAATTATATATGAAATAAAATATCATGAATTCTATCATTATATTTGATAAGTATAGCAAATATATTGTGAAAATCCAGAAAAAATAGCCGTAATTTAAATTAAGCTTAAAATTAGCACTATTTTGGTAATATCTAAAAATTAACATCACAGACCCCCACTTTTAATTTTCTTTTCTGAATATATAAAATACTTTTAACCATTCTTCTTAAATTCAGTAAAATGTCATTACTTTCAAGATATTTTATTGCTTGATAAATTTTTTAATGCCAGAAAAATATTTTCTGAGTGCAAAAAGGTCAAATAATTGAACTTGCAAAGTAATTTGAAAATTTTTTGTTGTCACAAATTTTAATACACCTATATATTCAAGGTGAAATAAGACTGTGTTTGTTCCCATAATTTATTTGAAAAAAAATATTGGAGGAAAAACTTTAATAATTGATTTATGTGTAAGACGTATTTACAGTGCAAAAAAGTCAAACTAAATGCTCAATAGCGCCAAGAGAAGCACATTAACCCCTATTTTTTGTTTTGATTTTTAATTAAGCTAGGTGTGTAGATTCTAAAAATATACTTGATAAAAGATTCTCATTACTTTTGAATTTAAAATTTCAAAATTATGCTTTGTAAAGTAGAAATCTGGTGTCTGATTATAATCGATAACATTGAAACACTAGAAGCTGATTCCAAACATTGATCGAAAATGAAAATAAACCAATGCAAGGAAACTCACAACATCTGTGTGATAAATGTATACAGACAGGGAAACTCACTACATGTTGGTAAATAATGCACTCTGGCAAGGAAACTCACTACATGTGTGTTAATAATGTACTCTGGCAAGGAAACTCACTACATTTATCCATAGTAGGAACAAGTTGATGATGAATTTACTGCAAAGGAAATGTAGTTTGTTTTAACATTGCCAATGTACTCTGGCAAGGAAACTCACTACATGTGTATGATAATTTTAAACAGACAAGGAAACTCACTACATGTGTGTAAATAATATACTCTGGCAAGGAAACTCACTACATATGTGTAAATAATGTACTCTGGCAAGGAAACTCACTACATGAGTGTAAATAATTTACCCTAGCAAGGAAACTCACTACATGTGTGCAAATAATGTACTTTGGCAAGGAAACTCACTACATCTGTGTAAATAATGTACTCTGGCAAGGAAACTCACTACATGTGTGTGATAATTTTAAACAGACAAGGAAACTCACTACATCTGTGTAAATAATATACTCTGGCAAGGAAACTCACTACATATGTGTAAATAATGTACTCTGGCAAGGAAACTCACTACATGTGTGTGTAAATAATATACTCTGGGAAGGAAAATCACTACGTGTGCAATTACTGTCCTCTGACATGGAAATTCACTACATCTGTGTGATAAATTTTAAAGTTAAAGATAGAAACTCAAAACGTCGACACAAATACTGAGGCATGTGACTAATGCAGAGATTGTTAGATACTGTACGTAGCATGAAAAAAATTGCTGGCTTCACATCAATGTTGCTATGGAATGAAGGAAAAAAATATACTACATGTTTTGTCTTTGATGAAAAAAGAAAAAAAAAATAAAAAAGATAGAAATAATGTTATATTGTAATATATTTCAATACAAAATTTAATATTGCAATGTATCCAAGGTATTGTAATAGGATTTTTAATTTGCAATACCTAGCACTTAACTATGAACACAATGAGTGATTTGGCAATGTTAAAACAAACTACATTTCCTTTGCAGTAAATTCATCATCAACTTGTTCCTACTATGGATAAATTATATATGGCTCAACTAGTATTATAAACAATGAAAGTATATCCCTGAATAGAAAATAGCAAAATTTATATTTTTTTCCCTAAAAATGTATGTCTGTAACATGAATATATTTCATTCAGAATGAAAGTAATAATAAAGAAATAATCCTTGAAATATTATGTTTTTTACGTTATGTCAAAAATCTTGACGCGAGCCCATTGCAGAGGTGTGAGAGAGGAACGAACGACTACTCTGCATAGGATATTGGTAAACAGCAACCCCCCCACCCCCCCCACCCCCCGCCAAACAAACAAACAAACAAAACAAAAAACACGATATAATATCTAATCATAATATTTAACCTCCTGGGGTAGTGAACTCTATAAAACATGTTTAGTAGACTTATCTATAATGCATATCATAGAAGAAATATGGAATCAAAATAATCATCCCAAATCAAACATACATGTATTAACCATTAGAGAGAATCTAGGCATGTCACTCCAGTTTGTTTACTTTGTACCCCATTGGTTTTTCTGAGTTGAAATCATGTTTTTATTTCAAAATGAAATGCCATTTCACATTCTTTTGACATATAATTCAGTCTGTCTTTAATTTGATGAAGCTTTTAAATTGGATTTGCATCTCATAAGAATCCTACAATTTATTCTCAAATACAAATCAATCAGTGTTTTGGAAAATCCTTAAGTAAAAGCAAGAGGCCACTCAATCTCATTCATAACAGTATGTCACTTCTTTTCATATCCATGCTCAATACATTTCACTCTGATTCTTATTCTTCATAATTTCAATACTTTGCCGATGCTTCATTGTGTTAGCAATGTATACCAGTTCTTCTTACTTTTATACTAATTCCAGTTCTTAACTACTGTAACATTATTTTTAAATTTGCAAATTAAATCTCTGTTACAAATATCAATTTAAATATTTTTGTTGTAGGCAACCAAGAATTCAAGTAATGTGAGAAAAACAAAATGCCAGTAATATGTCTTCAATTATGTCATAAAAATGACTCTGGCCATCCGAACCGAGCAGCATCCAATCTTATTATTATGTGTTGATACTTATAAGTGTTGTCAAATTGGACAATTTTTAGTAACCGGTTACTCGCTTACTTTTCCGATCAAGTAAACGGTTACATGGATGGATTTTTTTTTAGACCTTTAAGCATCCTTGCTCATGGTATGTATTCAATAATAACTGTAATATATGTAACGTCATTACAATTTCCATGTTTAACACTTACATACTGGCCAATATCAAACGCAAATGCACTGTAGATGCATTTCATTTATTTATTTTTAATTACACAAAGACAAATTAAAGCTTCTAAATGAATTTGTTCTTGAATATCCTGTAATAGTTGGCAATTTTTGCGGATGTCCTAAATATAAACTTACTTTAGTTTCGTTTCTGTGTATGTTAATTTCATTTTACATATTTTACACCTTTCGGATTTAAATTCTTTTAAAACATTTCGGAATCTATTCTTTTGATGGCTGTGGAGGCATCTTGTTTAAAATTAATCCTGTACTGCGGACTAGCACAGTATAAGTGAGGTAATTATAATTAACCCAGGTTTTCTACATTGTATACTGCTTGGCAATCAAAGCCATCGATTAGATAAACTGTGAAAACTAAGTGTTATCAAAACAAATCGGTCATGTTTGTGAAACGCTAGATCAAGTCTAACGTTAAATAACAGTAAATAAAATGGTAGAGGTGTACATTCATTTCTGAACAAAATAACATTTCTTTTCTACTTTTGTCTATATATCCGAGTAACTGAGTAGCAGTTTTACTATCTGATACTCGCATTGTTTGCCGATTAACCGGTTAACCAGGTACTTGTTGACAACACTAGTAGAAATGGTTAAAATGGCATCACACAAAATAAAGATAAATTAATTATTCAAACAACAGGGAGTAATACAGTAAAACATGCTTACAATAGCAAAGAGCCGGGGACCAAAATATTTAATTCTTTATAAACATAAACTTTCCATTTACAACACTTTTAAATCTATGGGGAAGGAAATCACTTCAATGTAAGCATATAAATTCATTTTAAGCATGTTTGCTATAACAATGTTCTGGCTGATTGATTTGAAAATTTTATAAATGGTTCTTCAATGATGTGCACAATTTAGGAGACACTGCAACAAATGGAAGCTAGACCACTGCTCCTTGATGAAAATATATCCTTGTTGGTAACCTTATTATAAATCTAGCTTAATAGTCAGACTGGGTGAAGCCTATCTTTATGAAGTATTGATACTGATGGTGGCATTACATAAAATCAAAGGCCTGAAGGCCTGAGAGATGCATCGCACTGAAGGTAGAAAACTCAAATTTTTTTACTCAGAAAAATTCGACATACATCTTGAGGGAACGAAAAAAAATCAGGAATAAAAATAAAAATTAAAAATATCATTTCTTTGAGGTTAAAAAAAGATTTTGAGTTGTAGCATTTTTTTAGTCGGTCGGAAGAGGGCAAACAAACATTTTTTTTAAAGATAGTCTGATATATCAATTATAATTTATTGATATTTAAATTAATCTATAATTGATTTTAATTATACTTTTATTTTTTTTATTCTTTCATCATAAACATAGTAGAAAGATGAAATAATGAACGAGAATTTAGAAATGAATGATTATTGAATAATTCTATATAATTTCATATCTGAATTTTTTCCGTTTCTTTCATTATGAGCATTTTTTTTTAAATATCAATACTTTGTCTTAGACTAGTTTTATCAATCAAAATGACATAATACGTAAACCATAGTTGGATACATGAAATGTTCATATAATTCGGACTGAAAAAAAAAAAACAATCGGGAGTGGTATACGGTATACTATGAAACACGTTTCCTCGATATTTTCGATAAAATTAACTCAAAAAGTCTATGTTTATACGGTATTAGTAAACCTATAAATTGAAATCCACTGTCATTGCAATTTTTTATCAGATATTTTATCATACTCAACTGACATTTTACCAAAAACCGATCATTTCACTGTTTCGTGTCACCCTTCCTCGTGGAATTTTTTTCCCAAAACAGTCTAGACGAACTCCAAAAACAGCTTTGCTTTTCCGGAAGTAAGAAATTGAGACTGAAAAGACTCCGAAAACAGAGTCCGCGCATGCGCACACGCACAAAAAAATAGCGATTTTTCGGCAAAAATGATGGGTCTACAAAAACTGTCTGCAAAGTTTTGGAAAGTATGGCAATTATGCCAGTACTCAGAAATGCTAAATAAAAGACTTTGGAAGAGATCGTATTTGTCAGATTTTTGATTTTATTTGCAAAAAAGGAGATATTTACTTTCAAAGTTGACGTTTGAAGTCAGGTTAATTACAGAGAAAATGATACGTTTGAGAAGTAAATATGCATAATAAAAGGGATATATATGCAAAATGGGACAATACATATTGTAACTGTTAAAAACTTGACTGAATTTTACACATATATTAGCATTCCGGTATTTTTATTTGTGTACGACATCTGAATTGAACGCGTAAGTTCTTACCATGGTTATTTACCGATTTTTTTTTATCACATTTGAACAGATATTATTATGAAAACATTTTTAAAACTATTAGCTATCAAAATGAAATCTTTAAAAACCACTCTTCTAGAAATTAAGGTCACAACATGTCTTCTAAATATAAACCTGTGAATATCTCTGCTCCGTAGTGAAAAATGCGCATTTTCTAATTAAAATACATACAAGCTGGGTGTCTTCAAAAACAAGTAAAAGCACCTAGATATCGTATGAACAACATAAAATTTAAATCAAGGAGACAATAAATCAAATAAGAAAATAATTCTTACCGGCAGTATTGAATTCGATGCCGTATAATCCAATTTACTACTATGCAAGAGTTTGAAGCAATAAATAAGTCAATATCCACAAAATAATTTCATAAATATAATTATCCATTCAACAAAATTAAAGTAAAGTCACAATGCACTAAATACAGCCATTATGCAGCCGTATATTTGAAGAAAGCGAACGACAATCCATCGTTTGTTTACATCGGACGCCATTTTGCCGCAATGCATGATGGAGCCAAAGACTTCGTTTTCGGAGTTCACGCCATTTTTAGAGTTCGTCTTGACTGCGAAAGGTGGCCCTTGTTGCAAAAATTTATTCAGTTGAACATCTTACTATTCGTTTCATCAAGTGAAAAAATAATGATATGCCTTCTATTTCTATAAAAACAACCATCTTGTTCCTACTGTTAGTGATGTTTTATAAAATAAAATTATTGTATATTTTTCTCAGATATTCATACAAGCAATGTCGTATTACATGGCCTAATAATTTATGGCAAGAGCTGTTGCGATGTAAATAGATCTTACTCCGCGTAGCACATGTTTGTTTGTTGTTGTTTTCTCTCTTTCTCTATTTTTGTTTTGTTTTGTAATTGTTTCTTTTTTGTTATCTTTGTTGCTTTCAAAGTATAAACAACATATATATGTGAGATTTTATGTTATTTGGTATTTAAAATAGACAATGAATATCACCAACTTGTCAATATACATTTGCTCTATTTTCAATGGCGTATTTAGAATCAATATTGTGGAGTCCTTTGTCGCCGCAGTAATTGAAAAGAAAGAAATGGGGGTCGACTGCAATGAGGCCACATCGCTGTTAGGGATGCGCCTCAAAAAATAGTTTGTGTCCAAAAACATGTGAATAAACATGATAAATATTAAATCCCTCTTTATGACATTATGATATCATGAAATTAGCTTAACAGCAGACTGGGTAGTGCAACTTGTATAATTATATTTATATATATTACCTGAATTAATCTCATCATCATCATCACTGTCAAATGAATTTCCATTGAATTCCCAACTAAAAGGGTCCGATTCCATTTCCACATCTGAGCTAGCCATTTGGATGTCTAAAACATCAAAGCATTTAGATTCAACATCACCTTTTAAAAATTAAAACTGTCTTCAAACAAGAGGCCCATGGGCCACGATGCTCACTTTGGTCAAATAGGTTCAATAAAAGACTTACTTATAGACACAAAATATTACAAAAAAATTTATCAATTCAGATTCTGAGATCTTATTTTCCAGGTATAAGTCTTCTTTTAAATGTGTCTTTGTGTGACATCATATTGCAACTAGGGGATTGCTCTAAAATCAGCCCCAGTATTTCCAATTTGTTTAAGCATCATTTATGTTAAAAATTATACAAAAAATATTTTTTGGAAAAAATATACAAACTTAAATTTAAATACAGATCAATCTGGATTTTAATTTTTTTGCACAAAACTATAAATTAAGAGCATATAAAATTATAATCATGTAATGAAAAAATATGAAATTCAAGCAGTATTATCATTCTTTCTACATCCATCCACTTTACAAAACAAAACCACAGATGTTGAGAGTAAATTAATAATATAAACTTACTTTTATAGTCTGATATAAATTTGATCTCAAAACCTTTTTGGTCAAAGCCAGCCTGGCAGTAAAAATCTGCTTCTGACGAAGGTGACATTCGTCTTCTCTGAAAATAGATGTGATCAGGGAATACATAAGCTTTAATTCATAACATACTATATAAATGGTGCCTGTTTTGGAGGGTAACAAATGAAATTGACACCCTTTTGAAAACCATTGTTAACCTTTTGTTTTGTCATTGAAATGATCCCTCCTGAAATATTTTATCGACCAAATATTAGAAGATTTTTTTTAAATTTTAATCAATTCTTTGCTTGTAATCAAATGACCACCAAAACTTGTGTTGGATCTAAGGGAAAACAAGTTTCTTGGTTGACTAGTGATACTTTTTACAAAAAAGTTAACTGTTTATTGAGTTTTTTTTATCAACATATAAACATAGGTAATCAAAGATTACAAAGCTCAATGAATGGTACATGTGTATCTATAAGTAAGGTAAATCTTGTACCAATTTTGTGCGAGATCAATTATCAATGCAAGTTTGGTTAAAGTAGGACTTATTGTTGCATGGGAATAGACCTGCTCCAAAAACTTTAAACTTAAACTGTTTACTCATAAAGAAAATGTAGGTCAGTTCCAGCATCCATAGCATGTCTGGTAGTGTCCATCCCTAGTTTCGTCATCCATGCAAGTTTAGTCATAACATGTCATATAGTGATAGAGCTACTCCAAAGACATTACTCTGGTCACATATCTGAAAAATGTAGGTCAGATTCAGCATCAAAAGCAAGTCTTCTTGTGTCCATCTTTAGATACATCATTCCATGCTAGTTTGGTTCTGGTAAGGCTAATAATTACTCATCTGGAAAATAAAGGTTCAAAGCAAGTCTGGTAGTGTCCATCCCTAGGTGCATCCTTCATGCAACTTTGGTTCAGGTAGGGCTTAGTTACTTGGAAATGCATGGACTTGCTCCAAAAACTTTAACCTGGTCACTCATCTAGAAAAATTTAGGTCAGATCCAGTATCTGAAGCAAGTCTAGTATTGTCCATCCCTAGATGCATCATCCATGTAAGTTGGGTCCAGGTACGGCTTATAGTTACTTGGGAATGGACTTGCTCCTAAAACTTTAACCGGGATGCCGACACAAACGAAAATCAATAATTATGATTTGCCATCTAAATCACATGTTCAATTTCAAGTGTGATTTACAACATTTTCATAATTTTATTCGGTAAACAAATAAAAAAAATTACAAATTCATTTTTAATGGACCCAAATTATAGCTTGTATAGCCACTGTATTAGTGTAAAATGTGCACTGTGCCATTTGGCTGACCCCACAAAATGCAAGAAAGCCTGATTTTCTAGTTTGTAAGTTCATTGCAGTCTGCACTCTTGGTATTCATCATCGAAATTAAATGATATCCATGATGTATCATATAACAAGAGGCCCAAGGGCCTTAACGGTCACGTGAGTGTAAAACAATAATCCATAGAGGATCCATAGAGTATAAAATAAACTGATAGAACCTTAATTTGTTGCCCAAAAGCAAGAAAAATAGGATGATCATGATCTTCGAAATAATTACTCTAATATTCAGTAACAACTCATAAATTAAGTTCTAATCTGTCCCAAATTTAGATTTTTTTCCTATAAGTTTTTTCTAATATGCCCCCACCCTACCCCCGAGGGTCATAATTTGAATAATCTTGAATCTACACTACTGTAAAACACTTTTTATTCACAAGAACTTTATTTTTGCGTAATTACGTGAGACAGTGTGCTCGTGAAAATTTCATTCTCACTTATCTTAGTATTCCTAAAGATTATATACAGCAAACACATTTCGTGAATATTCTGTCTCGCTAATAAGGAGTCAGTGACTATCTCGCGAAAATGAAGTGTCCCGAAAATTTAGTGATCTACAGCACCTGAAGATGTTTCTGTATTAAAATGACTAATCATGGCTTTGTTGTTCTTGAGAAGAAAATTTTTAAATGATCTTTCCTATATATTCCTAACTAAAATTTGATCACCTGTTGTGTCCCCTCCCTACCCCAGGGGGTCATGATTTGAACAAATTTGAATTTACATTACCCAAGGATGCTTCCATATAAATAAGACAAATCATGGCTTTGCTATTCTTGAGAAGAAGATTGTTAAAGATTTTTCCTATGTATTCATATGTAAATCTTTGATCATAAATTGTGGCCCCACTCTAGTACATTACCTGAGGATGCTTCCATGTAAATATAACCAATCATGGCTTTGCTGTTCTTGAGAAAATAATTTTTTCAAGATTTTTCCTACATATTCCAATGTAAAAATTTCATTGTTCATTATGGCCCCACCCTCCCCGGGGATCATCATTTTAAGAAATTTGAATCTACACTACCTGAAGATGTTTCTACATCAGTTTCATCTTTCTTGGCCCAGTGGTTCTGGAGAAGATTTTTTTATTTCAACTTAAATTTTTTTTTTTTTTTTTACCTTTTTGTTATACAATGTACTTATACATGTATTGTTTTCGGTAGTTAATGGGCTAGTGATGATTGTCAACCTCGAGCTAGTAACTTTGTTACTTCCACTAGCCCAGGCTAGTAACTAATTTTTGTAATTGCACACCCCTGCCCAGGGGTCATGATTTGAACAAACTTGAATCTACACTACCTGGGGATGTTTCCACGTAAGTTTTATCTTTCTTGGCCCAGTGGTTCTGGAGAAGAAGATTTTTAAAGATTTTTCCTATGTATTCCTATAATGTAAAACTTTGATCGTCCATTGTGGCCCCACCCTACCCCTGGGAGTTATGATTTTAACAAACTTGAGTCTACACTACCTGAGGATGTTTCCACATAAGTTTCATCTTACCTGGTCCAGTGGTTCTTGAGAAGAAGACTTTTAAAAGATGCCATTAATTTTTCACTAATTCTTAGTTATCTCCCCTTGGAAGACGGTGTGGCGCTTCATTTGAACAAACTTGAATTACCATTACCCAAGGATACTTTGTTGCAAGTTTGGTTGAAATTGGCCCGGTGGTTCTTGAGAAGAAGTTGAAAATGTAAAAAGTTTACGCAAGACGCACACCCGCACGACGACGGATGAAAACAGATACATGTAGCAATAGGTCACCTGAGTGACTCAGGTGACCTAATAAAATCAGAGCCACCAATCAACATATTGACATCCACTGGCTAAGCAACAAACTTTTCCTCTGATGTGGTTCCTAACTCCAAAATATCAAGTCATTTTGCATGGCTGCACCACAGATTTATGAAATTGATGCATATGGAAAATATTACCTTAGGCCATTCCAAGTTTTTTCTATGTTTAGCATCCACCCATCTTTCAAATACTTCCCTACCTATTCGCAAAAAACACACAAACCAAAAAGTAAAACACAAGTCATTATAGCCATAAAAATGATGTCATTCAAAGAATATGATTCCATTAATCTATTTTTCTCGTAGAAATATTTATTCTTCAGCAAAATCAAGGTATTAAATGCTTAAAATATTCCAAATATGGCATATTGTAGACAAATACTTAGAGAAATTGACAGAATTCAGTGAATCGACCAGTATAAACAATTTCAGGACTCCTGATTTTGTTTGTTTGGTTTTTTTTTTTTTTTTTGTTAAGGGATGTCAAAAAATCCAAGGCACACGCGGACGCTAAACATTGAAAAAACTTGGAATGGCCTTAAATGTACAATGAAATACCATACTAACAAATTCTAATTAATTATCTAGGCTCGCTCTTTGATCTCTAAAAGTTGGCATTAAAAAATGATTTTGGTTTAAATATATTTTATTCTAAATACTTGCTGTAATAGATGACAAATCTCCATGAAGTTCTAAAAACAGAAAATTTATTTCCACATATCTGTTATCAAGGTGGCAGGGGATAATTTTTCTTTTCAATGCCAAACATGTGCCGAGGGGGTAGGCATATGCATGAGGTCAATAAAAACAGATCATAGTTTGGGGCAGTTTCTTGGGTGCTAATTAATTGCACTTCATATATCTATAGCTCAAAAAATGTGTCAACGTATAACATGTAACCTACATATTAAAGTGCACATGTACCGAAAATGCACTTGGAGGTCTCCAAAGATTTTGGCTTGTTTTTCCAAGATTTGGGCTGCTGTCGCACCTATACAGCCCATCCCATTCCCGAGCGAGCAGGATAAAACACCCAGTATTCTGTAGAACAATGCATGCCCTAATGAAAATTCACCAATTAATCTGGGGCCATTCACCTTCCCTCTGAGATGCACACCACTGCTTTTCAGCTGAATTTCCTCTGCGACTGACCAAATGTCTTAGTTTCGCATTTACAACTCTATATATGCTAAGCATCAGAGTGACACCTACATGATGCACATCATTTTTCTCAGCAAGCTCTGCTACACTGCACATGTACATGTATCCCATACTATTCTATTCCATCCCATTCTATTCATTTTTCTACATAAAATATCACATCAATCAGGGGATATCTCAGTTTTTAAAGAAATTTGACAGTGCGTACTAATCTATAGTATGAAACTATCCCCTGCCACCCAATGTCATATGGCCATAGTCAAGTTGTACCCAAGGCAATTCAAATCTTAACATGTTAACATACAAACATATATGGTTTTGAGTTGACACAGATAAATGCTGTTTTTATTCTCACGGATCAAAAAGTTCCTTGATAAAATGGTTTGCTTAACGGATAAAAGTTATGTAATTGATCCTAAAAGTTTCCTTTTATTATATTTTGCTAGTTGTAAAGGGGTATATAATAAATTTATCATTATAACAGTAACTTGATCCTGAGACCCGTATTACGTCTCGTTGACAGGCGCGGATCATCAGATCAAACTCATCTGATCTGATGATCCATGCATGTCAACTTGACATGATACGGCTCTTCGGATCAAGTTACTATTATAATTATATATATATACTGGCCTCTGTTCTTCTTTCAGAAAATATCATAGGCTCAATTTCGTTGAGTCAATAATTTGGAATATCCCATAATTATCTCTTAATTTGAATCACTTAAACATGTTAAATCAACACGTGCCCCTGATCGGCCGAGAATTGCAAAATTTGGTGGTAATCTGCTTTACATTTAGATTATTTTACAACGTATACTTTAAAATTTATTAAATATCCATTCCAATAAACAAAAAGAACAGATTACATTTATCGGAAAACAAATTTTTTACTGAGAATAAACATAGTTTGAAAAACTTGTAGTGTTTTGGGCGAGTAAACATGATACTGAAGGAGATGCCTATCCCGTTAGTATATAGATCCCTGACTTAATGCATAGAATAATGATTATACGTTAAAAAAGTGTGTTATAAAATTTGCATTGTCTGTTTATGATACGGAATACAACAGATCTAGGGCCTATAAGTCAAAAAATTTATTTGTTTATTCATTTGAAAATTTTGTTACAATTCCAGGAAATGCAGACATGGCTCTTCTTTATAGTAAAATTCTGCGCCAGATTTTCATTTTGCTCCGTAAAAGTTCACTTCAATTATAATGCCCTGTTCACACGGAGAGTTTAATTCGAATTAAACATAAGTTACTGCGAATTAAATTTGAATCGCATTCGCACAGGGAATTAATGCGAATTAGTTTAATTCAAATTAATTAACTGCACATTAAATTACTTCGCATTAGCTCCGTGTGAACGCTAAGCGAAGCTAATTCGAATTAAATTTTGACGCATGCGTAATGGCACAATTAAGTCACATGCCACATGTCTGTGGACAGATATGGATACTTATGCTATTTTTTAGTGGAAAACAAAGAAAAATTATGTTAATCACTGAAATGTGCATAGAGACTATGACAGAATGTAATATGGGTTTGCTGCGCATAAGGCGACGTGATTTGAAAATGACCTCATTATAGCCTTACTGAATAGCCTTACTGTAGAAATAAAATTTTAATTCCCATTAGTTTACTTCGCATTAGCTGTAGTGTGAACACAATTTAATTCACATTATTTACTACGCATTAATTTACTGCGAATTAAACTCTCCGTGTGAACAGGGCATAACAATTTAATGCATATTACTGTCAATCAAAAATTGTTTTAATCAGTAAATCATGATGCAAAAACTAACATAACTTGCAGAAGTCAGCATAAACAACTTCACTAGCGAATCAAGATCCCATTCAAAAAACATTGGTAATGTAATGCAATATCATGCACTCATAATATATAATTTTCTTATCGGTAAAATAAAACAATTGATACCCCATATGAGTTCCACATGGTGAAAAGAAGGACCCTTGACATGACCGACTTGCTAACCAGATATGACCTCGGTGGCCTTGGTCAGGTTAATTAGAATAATCTAACTGTGTCTTGGGACAGGCCCTCACTACAGTTAGAATCCCTCCCATATACCAATAATATAGCAGAAAATTGCAGAATCGCTCCGAAATGATTTTGGAGAAAATTAATGAAGTTGCATTGAAAATAACAGTCAAATTAATCATAAAAAACCTTTTGAGACTGTAAATACCTTTCATCTAAAAATTTAATCCATATAATGGAAGAATTCAACACTTTTTCACCAACATTTTTTACTCGTTTCAAATTTACACAAGATGTTGACATTCAGAACTCTCGGGATATTTCATAGTAAATGCACAAAGTTAGAGTTATCTCCCGTATTTTCTTTGCTACATGGACAATACACGGAATGCATTCTATCGTTAAACAGGGTCCGTAGGACATTTATCATTTTAATGATAGAACATTCTATCTATGGTCAGGTCAGTTCACCTCGTAGACCAAGTCTTGGGTCCGTATTTCACCATGTTGACCTCAGAAGAGGTAATAAATTGTTAATATTGTTAAGTTATGAGTTGTCATCAATTTATATAGGGGAGTCAGTTTGTAACAATTCTCCTGGTTACGATTTGAATTTTGTCGTTTCATTAATATGAGTTGACCTATTGGGTTTGATCTGATCTACTCAACATGCTAGAGGTTCACGGCGATATACTTTTGACTTGGCGCTCCGAGGTATATAAGGAGCGTAGGGACGTTTAACCGAGGTTCTTACTTGTAGGAGGAGATCTGACCTAGATACGATCATACGAGGCTGGTTACGAGTTGACCAAAAACCCTTAAACAGACACTGTAACTTTTCTGTGTTTCCCAATCCCAAACAAGGATAGACTGTAATGCAGGCCCAACTGTGTTCATTGTACGTGTATAAAAAATGAATAAAACGGGCACTATAAAGATTATCGTTCCGAAAAATTGACACATACAACTGACCTAGTTCGAATTTTCTCAACTAAGTGACAACTTTCCAAAGTTCACAGTACATACGATGAACTTCAAGCATCTTCTAAATTTCCATCTTCAAAAGTAACAAGAGAAGATTTTTATACTTTAAAGCTTACAAATACTTACAAAACTGTCT